CAAGACCTCTGTGAAAAGGACCAGTCAAACTCATACCAAAAGCATGGTCCAAACATGAGTGTGCATTATAAGACAATACCTTTTTTATTTATTTTAAAGAAGGTGGACGTAACAAACACAACAGATCCCTTTTTGCATTTTTAACGGGTTATTGCTTTGCACGAGCCACCTTGAGATAAACATCACAGCAAAGATAACTTACTTTATCTTCACTGCGATGTAACATAATGATGACTTTACCTGGTAAAGTCTTTGCAATTGGAAAAAAGGATTTTCCCCAACAAGGTATTTATTATCCCAAATTATAGGATATATTTGTGGTGCAATTTTGCTGCTTTAATTTTCTCATTTTCTCCTTGTAGTCACTTTCTCTGAGGAAAACACCTGCCTGAAAGGGAGCACTGTAATTGAAAAAGGGGCAGCATCAGCCCCTCGATGATTAAAGCTAACTTTTTCCCAGTGCGACCACAGTAGCATGGACGTTTGCATGAAGCAGATGGATTTGCCAGCCTCTTGGGCTGAAGTTTAATCTTGGATATTTTTGCTTTTCTGTACTTTTGCCAGAAACAGCAAATGCTCACGGGACTAGATCTATGCCGGGTTGCGGTCCTGCAGTTGGAATGAAGGTCTGAGCCTTGGATTTATGCTCGGAGACGGTTTTCACAGCTGCAGCTACTAGAGAAACCAGACCCAGTCTTCTGTGGAGCACAGAAATACAGGCTGAATACAAGGAGTTGATTTAATTCCTTATCCATTCATTATATACTAAATCATGCCAGGAGCGAGGAGTGGAGGATGATGCATCACCTGCTTTGAAGGACCGTGTGATGCCCTGGGAGAGCATACCACCCGGGCATGGCTGGGGAAGGCAGAGTACAAACCCCCATCTCATCCGGAGACAAAGTGCAGTATGTTGTGGTGCTAACAGCCACATTTTATCTCAGCAGAAAATAAATTTTGTTGCTAAAATCGGAGTATTCAGTCAATTTGGGACGTGGAATGCTAGCATAAAAACTCACTTTAAGAAGCACCATGGTACCGACAGCGACCATCTCAAGCAATGGTGAACATCAACTGTATCTGAAGGTTTTCAAATGAAATCTAACAAAAACTGCATCTGCAAGGAGAGGCGCGCAGGGTCCGGCCAGGCATGAGCTCCCTGGGAGGACACGCAGAGGAGCAGCCACCCGCTTTCCCTGCAGGTGGCTCTAGAAAACACGGGGCACCCTGGCAAATATTACCTAAGGAAACATGTTTTGGCCTGACATCTGGCTCTGGATACAGTGCGTAAATACGAATCTCTTTCATGACTGCTTCACGGCAGGGAAAAATGAAATTAATCTTTTTTGTCGCACAATAATGAAACTCAATTTCTACAGGACTCTGGGGGAGAGGGGCCATCCATTAAAGAAAAACCTATTGACTACAATACAAAAACACCACCAGAATCTCCTAGCAGGCTTTAGCTACCTGGCACACCAGAGTTAAATGCCAAAGTGCCTTTAAATATCCTAAACTTGTATTTGTACAGAGTAGTCACTGACCACCCCAGATGTTTAGAGATGCTATAAATTGAAGGAATAGGATTAACATCCAATAAAGCTTCAGTGGGAAAAAACATTCTTGCACAAAATTAACCCAGCCTTAGCTAGTCAAGAATGCCACTTTTTAAACTAAGGGATTTAAAGATTATGAGAGGATTTGTACCCATCTGTCACTTTTGGCCTGCTTTCATTTTATAAAGCTTCCTTAGTCAAACTTCACTAAAAATCTTGTCAACATTTGACTATGTTTAGATGAATTCATTTGATTTGGTAGCTCTGATATACTGATTTCCTAAAGGGAAAAGATTTACAAAAAGAGGCATTAGGATGTCGAGTCCATCGAAGCTGCACGTTATAATATTGCATGCTGCTAGAAAGGCCAAATTGACATGCAAAATTGTACCAGAAGCCCAAGCCATTTTAGTGCAGTTCTGTTTTATTCTGGCAAATGGATGCAGCTGAATTCCACCCGCTTTGGGAGACCAAATTCTACCCTCTGGGGCGAGGGGAGTTAGCTGGGGGCGAGCACTCTGTGAACCCTCGGAAAATGGCCCTTCCAAGAGGGACGGGAAAGGTTTCCTGGATGGAAAAGGTCTGCTCCCTTGCTGTGGAAGTGCTCCCCTACATGCAGCACCCTGCTACGGTCGGCTACTGGCCCCTTGGATCATGTACCTTAAACATTTAACTTTCTAGTTTCCCTGGCTGACGCGTAGCGGAATTCCAACTGCTCATGATTACAGAAATTAAACCCTTGACAGTGCCTCTCTGGGATGGGTTTTGCTGATGTCTCACGTAGTCTCCCGCCAGACAAAGTTGTATTTTCCCCTTACATCACAATTGCTTTTATTTTCATAATTTTGATTTTTAAAGATTGCTTTCTTCATTTTGTATGTACCACCAGCAGCTTGATCTTCTCATTAAATTGACTTTGGTATGGAAAAACACCAATAAAAGAAAAATGTCACCAACACAACTGCTCAAGTGCTGAATAGCTGGAGCGCTCGGGATCACGAACAGCTGCTGCAATTATGTTTAACTGCCCATTTTCTGTGCTTTGCTCACAATCAGATCTTACTTCAAGAGCAGGTAGCACCATTTCTGCTTTTGCAGTAAACAAGTGACATGATTAGAATGACGAGAGGCCTCCATCTCCGTGTTCTAATCTCTAGAGGTGTCTCTACCTGATTGGGAAGCTGAAATTCTGGCTTTTTTTTTACAGCGAGCTGCGCTCTCTCTCCATTCTGAATGTGTGTATATGCTGGGACTTTTCTAAACTAGTTATTTATGTGGCTTCTCATTTCCACATGATTGTTTTATTGCATGATATAAAGCCCCAAATGTGTGTTTCAAGCAGTTTTAATCTTTATTTTCTCTGTACAAACATGCAGTTTTCAATAAAGGAAAACGCTTGCTTTTTCTTCTGCAGGAGTCAGTAATTTCCTCCACTGCATTTTTTCCTTCCTAACAAACTTCTATCAATCAAAATGACTGGAGAGATGAAGCAACCAAACCAGGGAAAAAGATTTACATGATTCATTGGACTGGTAAATTCTGCGTTAAAAAAGATAAACAGAAGCAACAGAAAGCAACAACAACAACAGCTTATTTTTTATGCATCATTAAAAACAGGCCATATGTGATTAAACAAATATCCCGCGCCCTCATTTTAACTCTGCTGTCCTTCGAGAACTCATATGACTCCTTAAGTACATGACATGTGTAGTCTACAAATGGCACGGTACGGGGCTCAAGAGCATTCGAGATCAAAGCAGTTTGAGAGAATCAGGCTTATTTATTGGGTGAGCACGTGAATATAATTGATAAAGTAATAGAGCATTGTAATTACTTGAAGTTACTAAAGTTCACAGCCCTGTAAGTACCCAGAACGCGCAATCTGCAAATGGCATTTTAAGTTGCTCAAGTGCCTTCAAGACCAAAGTAGCTTAAAAGAATCGTATCGCTAGTGAGTAGGAGTCTGAGTAGGAGTCTGAACAAAGTTGATAAGTAGTTTGAGCATTTTAAGTACTTCAGGGCACTGCAGCGTGAGTACAAAGTAATAGGACAAAATAAACCAGCTTGTCAGTGCTTGGTTTTCCAGAGCTGGGCTAGTGAGGAGAAACTCAGAAGACGGTGATTTTAGCAGAGTGCCATCAAATCAGATCCAACCAAAACAGTGATCCACTCGGGATGGTGTCTGGCAAACATCATCTAAATAGGATGAAAAACCCAGTTACAAGATCTAGGCTTCTGCCTAAAACAGCTGGAAGGAAAACCTGGAGCTGAGCTCAGCATGGTTCCCCAAGGGCACCACAGTGCCAGGTACGGTGAGGGGAATAACAGAACAAGGAAGTGCCCCCAGGGATTAAGAAAAACCCCCAAATGAGGATGTACTAAGTATAAACTCTCTTTTTGTACTACAAGGCTGCCCGAGGCTGGTTGGTAGGGCTGCAGATGAAAGGAGATGGTGTGTTGTAGCTCCCAGCCATGAGTGGTTAAAGCGGAGAAACAGAGCTCCGCGTCTCTCAGACAAAGCTAAGAAATGAAGGATGCAGAGAGATGTGCTACTGGGGGAGCGCAGCGAGCCAGCCATGCACACACCTGGAGTGGAAACACATGGCTCGTCTGTACAGACCTCCGTACGCACTGCCAGGCCGCTTGCTGCCGTGAATACTAATTCAGCAGTAAAATAATGAACTGCTCTTTTTGTTTGATTCTTTCTCTGCAAGTATCTAAACACCGAGAAACTTGGTAAGATTCAGGGGAGTGGGCACATAGCAGATATTGGTGGCTATTTTGGAAGATGAGCAAAAAACATCAACAGCATCTCTTTTTTTTTCTGTAACTGTAAAGACGACCATGCATCAGGACAACTCTGTGACGGATCCAAAAGCTGGCCGACATTTCTAATTACTTTGAAACAAAATGCTAGTAAAAAGTATTAGCTATAACTAAGAAAACCTCCAAATTATTAAGATGAAAACCCCTGTAACTGCAGTGTTAAAATGCCTCCAACACTCTACGCATCATCTGGTTTTGGCTATCCACATGCATCATGTCACATTTGAAAATCAGATTCTGTGACTCTCCGGTACACTCTTAGCTATGTGAGCCCCAAAAATAAGTTAGCAGTGAAGGAGAAACCAGCAGAAACCAGGTCGCACCACTTGCAGAGACAACAAAGAGGCATGGCTGGATCAATCAACATCAGTGCATTACAAAGGACAAAGTGCTGTTAGAAAAATAACTGTCCTTTCAGCTAGTTAGTATTCAATCACTGAAGTGGAAAATTTTCTATCTCAACTTGATTTTAGGAGAAAGAAATGTTTCACTGAGTCACCTCATACCTTGGAGGACAAAGTTCAATTTGCCAGCACAAGCACTAGTATTCGAGAGAAAGACTGAAAGTGAGCGATTTTTTTTCAGTAAAATGTAACTTAGAAAGAAACACAAATATACCTGCTTCGTCATAGGATACAGTCAATTTTTCCAGCATTTCTCGATCAATTGATAAAATCTGCTGTTCCAGGATGGTTTGGTAAGACAGCACACTGTTCTCCTTGTCCTTCTCATAGTCTTGAAGATGTTGTTTTAGGACTTCAGGCAGGCGGGACTTCACATATTCTGCTGCCGACTATGCAGAAATGAGGCAAAGGTTTAATTAATACATTTTCTTTTGAAAAGCTTTATGCATATCCATAGCAATTTTTTTTTTATGATTTTAAAGCATTGTCAAATGTAACTCCTCACAATAAAACACTCTTAATGCTACTAACTCCATGGTGTAAAATCCACAGGTCATTTCTCTGCCCAGATGACCCCTGCCTGCCCAAAACTTCCAGGAAGTCAGGGGTATAATGGACCAAATTCCTCTGAGCTGAGGCATAACCTACTCTTAAGCAGGGAGTTTATGGCAATCCAGAAAGAGTTACCCATGCTGGACTAGACACATACATACCACAATAGCTCCATTTCTTCATCGTTAACATATTTTGAAACTATAACTATGAAATATAATGTCTTTATTCTAAATTTTAAAGTACAAAGTGACAGAGTGGAATCACTTCACCTGCTATTGATATACAACCAGGCTCGGACAGGGAGATAGAAGTGAACGTTTAACAGCATTAAAAAATGACATATATATACACAATCATCCACACACGGAAAATTCTTTTAAATTTTTTTCTCTGACTGCTCAAGGCCATAAGGAAACAGAAATTAACACAAGGTGGCATGGTTGTACTGATGTTATGGAGCCTTGTGCGCAAATGTAAATGGTAGTAAATAATAAGAGCATCTGCCTCTGGAGAGGTGTTGGTCTTCCGCCACGACTGGAACAGCTCTCTCCCTTGTGGCTTGGGCTCAGACACCCTGGGGCGATCCAAACACAAACCAGCTTTCTGGTGTTTAAGCATTAGCATCCCTCTCCTGTGAGTATTGCACTCCCACTAGAAGAGAGAATAGAAAGTCCTCTTTCTGGCATGGGTTTGGGTTTCTTTTTGGCTTTCCATCTCTGATATAAACATAACTGGAAAAGGAAGATGTAGCAAAGGCTGCTGCCCAGTGCTCCAGCTCTCCTGCCAACCTCAAGACAAAAGAGAAAAATAAATGATAACAAGGTTATATTATTTCAGGCCTGGAACTGACCAGAAGTTACCTCTACTCAGCAACAGGCTCTTCCTGGGTTTGTATTTAGTTTTCCAAAGTCAACTGCCGATTAAATTGCAACCTTAAAATATCACTGAAGTTGTGTTCAATTTTTCTGCAAGCTAAGCCATGTGAGACGAATGAAATTATTCCTGGAAAACTAAACGAACTCTCCACATGAGTACAGGATATTTAATGTTACATTTTAATAGTGGTTTTCTTCCAAGGGAAGGCCAAAAGATACACTGTATACTAATTATTTTAGTCTAAGTTCAGGCATTTGTGTTTAATGTTTCCTTTGAGAAGAGGTTTTACTCTGTGGGGGGGTATTTCTGTGCTCTCCCTGAGGCAGCAATTCTAAAGAGCAGAAAACAAAAGAAGAATTTATACATACTAATTTTCTGAAATAGGTCTTGTGCCAGCCGAGTGAATATTTGCATTCTACTGGCTGTAAACACGTAAGGAAAAATACCCATCTTGTCCCAAAGATCTTGCAGCCCAAGTAAAAGTCAAGAGACAGATGGGTACAAGCAGATGGGAAGACCATCGGGACCATCAGCTGTGGTCGGCATGACGGACAGCTGTTGTGAGCCACGTGCCGACCAACCGTCAAGTTCTTCCATAGCCATCGAGGCCGAGGACTTCAAGTGTGATCTCACAGGTGGGGTTTTTTTCACCTTGGGGAGAAGCAAAACCCAACACTCTTGCTTAGTCCACTGCCTTTCACATTACATCTAGATGTCATTAACGATTTCAACCATAAAGCAATGATGGAACCCATACAAACTCCTCTCCTTTTCTAGCAAGGAAGGTGATCAGACACATCTGAGTAATTGCATCCCTAGCTGCATTGCAGCGATGAGACAGGTAGTATTATATTCTATTCAGTAGAAAAGTAATTTTATCTTGGTTTTAAAAAGTCACTTCCAGTACCTGGAATATTAAAAAAGAAAAAGTGTGAGGGTGTGAGTGCATGTGTTCATGCACGTGCTCGGTATTAAAGAAACCAAGAAGCTAACTGTACTGCGTGAATAAAAATTAAACAACATTTAAAAAAGAAAGACTTCCACCATTTTCATGCTCTTCCATCTTACCGCAATTCCCACCTCACAGACCACAATACTCAAATTCTGAATAGACCAGAAACTCCCTCCGTGCAGACTGCTGCCCAGAGAACTGTTTGCCAGGATGCCGCTGACCAGCAGCCTGCCGGCAGAGCATCCCACCATGCCAGCCAACCGCTCCTCCTCCAGCCAGCGCTGGGGTCCCCCCGCTCTCATGAAATCTATTTTCACTAATATACGTATTTGTGTCACAGGCAGAAGTTAGGGGAAAAAACCCATTTCACTACTTTGAGGCTTCAAAATAGCTTTATCCTCCTTTCCTCTGTATGGTCCCTCTTACTCCTGCAAGAAGGAATTACAAACCTAGCTGCTCCTGGAAAACACCCGACCTCAGCCATTAGTTATAGGTACAACTAATTGTAACATTTGCTGGTCAGTATTCCTCATCACCATCCCTACGAGAAAGCAACTTGGAGCCGTAGGCACTGCAGCAGAGAAACGCAAAGAAACGGTGGTCCTGCTCATGCAGGCACCATTCCACAGATCAGTGCTTCAAAACAACAACATAACAGAAATGCACATTGCTGAACTGTTACCCCTCTCAGCCACAATAACCTCCTATTTTCTGGCAGGAATTTATCCATTTCTTTTATAAAATTGAAACTGCAGCATCCCTTGTGAATCTGTTTTCAGTCTGAAGCACCCTTCTCCAAATTAAATAAAGGATTGACTTTAATACCTTAATTGATTTTAGGGTATTTCATCCTACCATGGAAAACTAATATTTCATATATATAGAATAAATTTTAAATATCTACATACAATGAAATACACTCGCAGAGCTTATTCACAAAAAAATCACATTTTTCTCTATTCACTAAAAAAACTACCCTACATAAAAATCACATCAGGAAATGCTCAACTGTGTGGTAACCTGAACCTCAAATGCAGCCAGCATCCTTCTGTAACTACCAAATTTGCCCACATCTTTTAATTGATGAGAAACAGATATCCAAAGTAAATTTTCTTTTTATAAATTATACTAACTGCCTGTTAAAATTCGCTCTGCTTTTCTGAAGCATATCCTTCTGGGAGCTCCCTTGTATGTGGGGAAGTAAAGGTCTAAAATGGTTAACTAAAGGCTTCTTTATGAAGCTGCTTCAAAAGTCAGGTGGTGGCTTGACAAAGCATCCTCCTTACAGAGTTACATTGGGTGATTTCGGAAAGGCTTTCAACTCCCAGTAGAGCATTTGGCGTGTGGGAGACCAGAACCCGTAAGGGACAGTTGCATCCCTGCTCATCCCAGTCGCGCTCTGCAGGCTGCTACAGCTCAACACAAAGCCATAGCCATGGCTTTACCAACCCGCTCGACCTTTAAAATTCAGGTTTTCACCAACGCAAACACAGTGATCTTGCGTATTTCTGGCACTTGAAACACTCAAGCGGGTCTCATTAAATTGTGTTACCATCGGATGAACACCGGGCAGTGGAAAACCCTCTTCAAGTGGTGATGCCCTAGAATCTGCTTGCTGTTTGCCCCGTGGTGGGGTTTGGTAGGAGGAGCAGGACTGCAGAGCATCGGAGCCAGCTCCCAAATTACGCGGCTCTTCATGCAAATGCTTGCACACAAAAGATACACCTCCATAGGCACACGTGTAAACATGCAAGAGGTGACCCCGTTAATTAAGATGGCAACTGTTAAGCAGCTCCACGACCCCGTGAAAAACAAGGACTGCAAACAAGAGCTATGGCAAGACCAGCACACTGGCACATCAAGCAACTGAAGGATCTAATTAGCTGGAACAGCCATTACTTATAAACACAGATTTCCAATTTAAAAAATGGAAGATGGAGACTTTACTGCCTCAGTCCCGCACTCTGCACTGACTCCCGCGATTTACAGGGAGAGGAGGGAAACCACAAGTTGATGATCTTAATATTTTTGAGACAATTCATTCTGCCTGCCCGGCTACTGCAAGCATCCAGAGACTATGGGAAAATACAGGATCCATTTTAGAGTGTGGTATGGCTGGCGTAGCATCCAATAGCACTGAAGGATTTAAAAAACCATCAAGATTCCTCTGTCACATCTTCCTGCCTCTCCTTTTCACACGTTTCCCTCCCCTTCAAAGACACATGGGTCACTACAAGAATTTTCCTTCTTTAGAGATGATACACCATGAACTGCTGGCAAGAAACAGAGTTTACCTTATGAAAAAGAGGAATTTCAACTTTGTTCACCTCCTGGTTTACCTCAGGGAAATAATTTTTTAAGTAGGATCAAGTGAGTTTGACAAATAAAAGCCTGAGGTAGGTACAAGAAATGAACAAGGGTGTAAACCCTGTGGAAGACAGTGTTGGCCATGATAATCTCATGGGAAGGAAACACAATGACGAGTAAAGTGGGATTGATCTGTGGACCCTATTAGACATCTCTACAGGAGTCGTGGAGAATACACAGAAGGAGCTGGAAGGAAATTAGTACAGTATCAAAACTGTAATACAAGTGGGCAATAAGAGGGGCTCAGTAAATAATTCACAAGACTAGATTGTTAATACAGATGATATAACTTATTGAGAAAGGAGGCTATGGAAATAAAGAAGTGCCCTGTACATCAAGAGAATATTTGCTCTTCTAGGTCCAGTCTGTAAAAGGGAGACAGACCTGCTGAAAGTCATCACATAAAAAAGAGAAGCAGAGAAGCACTACCATAACCCAGGTCCACCAGACACCAAACGAAAAATAGAGAGGTTGGGTTTTTTTAACCAGGAACTGGAATAATCAACCAAAGCACAAGATGTAACGAAGTATTGCAACTACTCAGATATGTTATAGGAAATATATTTCAGAGCACAGGTTGTCCAGCAACCTCGGAGTGTGTTGGTGATAGTAGCAAAGACCACAGTTTGGGTGCGGGATGTTCCAGCACTGAGGAGCCCCCTAAGATAAGGAAGGCAAAAGACAACTTGCATGAAGGTGACAATTAATTCTTCAGGGAGAAAACAACATAATAAAGACAAAGGACTTTAAAAGAAGGACACTTAAAGATCGCTGAGGCTTGACAGTACAAAAGGACCAACAGCCGCAAGTCAAAGGAGAAAAGAAGGTATGGGGAGCAAACATTTCCTTAGGGAAATGATGTGAGTGAAAACTATCCCAATGCAGCAAAAACCTAGGAATTAACCCAGCTAAGTCATAAGCTGCTCAGTGATCTCAAACTCAGGAAGGACATACACACAGTCAGAATACCATGTGAGTATAGAAGAATAACAAACACTGAGAAACAAATGGAGACTAAAGAAAAAAAATGACTTGGAGCTAGCAAAGGTAGCAAGAAAAGGTTCTACAAGTCCATTTGTAATAAGAAAAAACCCAGGCAAAATGTTGCTCTACTGCTTAGCAGAGTAGAAAAGCTATTGACAGATGATGCCATAAAAGCTGAAGTATTTAATGTCTTTTTTTGCTACAGTACTCACTATCTTTACCTTGCTGCATTCAACTGGCAGCTAATATCAGAGGCAAATAACCAAAATCTCATGAAAGAACATGTTGGAAAGCGCTTATAAAGATTAGATATTTTCCAGATGGTTGGGCCAGATGAAATTCATTCAGGTATACATAGGTAATGGGCTGAAACAATCATTTAATGACCTCTGTCTTTGAAAATTCACAGAGGATGGCGAGATGCTATTTGGAGAGGGCAAATGTCAGGGCTACTTTTAAAACAGTATAAAGAGAGAGAATTACAGACTAGTCAATTTAACTTTGATGCCTAAAAAATGGGATAAAAGATCAAATGATTTCTACGCACGCCAAAGCCCCAAGATTTGTAAGGCGCAGAGAGCAAAGTGGTTCTCTCAGGGTGTAAGGAGACCTGCTAATTCAGTTCCTATCAACTGCAGTCTGGGGAGCAAATGCTCCCTTGCTCATTCCAGCAAACATGCCCGTGCTTAGAAGTCTTAGTACCACTGATCACATCATCAGCACAGACAAATCTTTCATGCTATTCTCTTAAGCCTTAGGGGATCCCAGAGAAATAGCCTTCCATGTAAATTAGGATGCTGAATCCCATGCAGATTAAGCATTTCAGAGAATCTCCCAGGCTTAAGATGCATCTCCAGAGTCCCCTCGGACCTGCCGAGGTGTGTTTGGTGCTCTCGGGAAGCGGATGCGGGATGTGGAAGCCTGTCATTGCCACCATCCGACCTTCATTTGCTGCCACACAAAAATTTCAGCTAGAGGTGCTATTGGACATACATAATGATGCCACTCAGAATTTCACATTCCACATTTTAGACTAGTGCTCCTTAGCAAAAATACTTTTATATGTAGGTTTCTGGAGTCACATCTTTAAAAAAAAACCCCAAACCACATGCTTCATTATTCTAAGAACAATGCACTTAACTTATTAAATATCTCCCAGTACGATGGTAAAAACCGTGGCATAATAAGGTTGTGGACAAGAAATGTATTCCAGAGAGT